ATGCCGAGAGTTGTTTCCCGCCAAGTTCTTGGCGCGAGCTTCCTTCATCTTTTCTTAACCCTAAAAGCGCAGTCAATCGGCCGCACTCCACGTTCTTCCCTTTCCTATCTTCCTCAAGGGTTGCAAGCCCAACGTCAGCGCTCTTCACGATACATTCCTCGCAGCAAAGCTTACGGCGAGCTACCTTTTGTTCCAGATCTCTGAATCTAGTTGTTAATGGTTGTTTAGCTTCCAGCCAATCCGGCATTTCCCAATCGAGTTTTTACTGGTGATTTTCTTGCCAGACGGAGTTTTTGGGTTCGTGTTGATATTTTCGTGCTTCCTCCCTGGTTAATTTCTAAGGGTTTATGCAAGGATTTATTATCTTCCCACCGCCTTCCGACATACGCACATTTTATTATATAATTGGAACGCTTTTCTCCTGCTTTTTCAAGATCAACGCCATATTCACTTATTTCTTACATTTTGATGCCGTTTTTTTTGTGAATGTTTTTGAAACTGTTGTAGAACCAGCTGGAAATTTAGAAATTTCGATGTGCTGCATGTTTACAAATTAATCGAAGAAACATTTGACATTGTTTTATTTTAGAGTAAACTGTTGTAATTTACTGTCATTTAGACTGTTGTTTTTTCTTAGTAGGTTGATATTTTCGTGCTTCCTCCCTGGTTAATTTCTTAGGGTTTATGCAAGGATTTATTATCTTCCTACCGACATACGCACATTTTATTATATAATTGCAACGCTTTTCTCCTGCTTTTTCAAGATCAATGCCACATTCAATTATTTCTTACATTTTGATGCCGTTTTTTTTTTTTGTGAATGTTTTTGAAACTGTTGTAGAACCAGCTGGAAATTTAGAAATTTCGATGTGCTGCATGTTTACAAATTAATCGAAGAAACATTTGACATTGTTTTATTTTAGAGTAAACTGTTGTAATTTACTGTCATTTATACTGTTGTTTGTTCTTATTACTTTCGGAAACTATGCTATGCAGGATTAAGAATGGCTCGCAGATCAATTTATCGGTATGGTGGAAGCGCATGCAATGGACAAAATGGTGCAAAACTAGCTGATCAAACCTCAACGATCCATACTCAGGCTAGTGGTTTCACCTCAAACCTCCGCAGGTCGTCAAGGCTCAAGGGAATAACTGCTATATGCGAAACAAAATCTGCAATACCGGCAATTTTGAGTTCGAAATTTAGGAAATTGGTACAGATACACGCGCTTCATCACCCAACCAAGCGAAAGAAGAAAGTCCATTGCACGAAAGCAGCCACGGAGCACCAAAGCAAAGGAGTAATGCTGTTGATATCATGGACAGTGATAATGAAAGCAATACCAATATCACTTTGATGGATCTACTGTCAATGTGCAAAATTAAAAAGCGCAAAGCATCTGCGGTCAAGGATCAAGCAACTCCTGTTATTCAAGGTCATAGGGTTGGCCTTATGATGCCAAAAGAAGAAGAACTTGAGCTAGAGGAGACAATCAGTAGCTTTAAAGTAAAGAAGGCAAAATCATCCCCTACAAGCGAAAAATTAAACAAGCATGCTAAACCCACTGCACCTTCTTCACCTGCTGAGAAGAAGGCTGTGTTGGCGTTTCCCCTCACTTCCGTGGCTTCTGAAAGTGGGCTAGACGAAACGACTCTACCTGCTGAGAAGAAGGCTGTGTTGGCGTTTCCCCTTACTTCTGTGGCTCCTGAAAGTGGGCTAAACGAAACGACTCACAGGGAAACAATTTCTGGGTTTGTTCCGAGACATGAAAAGGGTATACGTTTGCATACTATCTTCTGTTATTTTAATATATATATATATATATATATATTAATGTTACTGACTGCATCTAGCTGGGCTCCTCGAATTCAAAATTTATGAAGGAATGCTACAAAATGCGTTACTGTTAAATTTATCCTTTTTTCCCCCTTTAGTTCTAAATGCCATTATTTCTTTCAGAAAATGTTGATGGTAAGATGAAAGAACTTGCTGAGGAGCCTATAGCTGTTGTTATAAAGAAGGAAGCCATTGAAACTTGTTTGGTTGAGTCGGATGATGACAACTCTATGGTGAATTCTTCTGCTGTCTTCGTCAATAAATGTGATTTTGATAACAAATATTTAGTTGAAGTGCTTGATAAGGTTAGTGAAAGAGAGGACTCGAAGCACTCTGACAATGTTGCAAGCAACATAGTGGACCCTTTTCTTAGAGATATTATAAAACAATGCACACATGAATTTTCTTCTTCATCAACTTCTAAATTAGAGAACTGTCAAATAACCAGTCAAGATGAACATCTGGTAGTTGGCTCTACAAAGTGTGAGAGCCCAGCTCCCAATTTCGGTGTATTATCAATGCTTCAGCATCACATAAACTTGCCTACTGAATTGCGTCAGAAGTATGGCCAGCCAAAAATGCAATTTGAAGAAATAATTTCTTTTGATAGAAGAGATGCGCTTCTAGTTTCTGTTGAAAATTCTACGGAATTCATTGAATCTGATTGTGAAAAGTCAGGATCTTTCTCAGAAAATGACAGACGGTTGGTTGGGAATAGAAAGAATGGTTTTTCTGATTCACACCTCAACGAAAGAATAGTTTCATTGGTGTCCCAATTTAAAGCTTCTGATAGTCTAGAAAGCCATGATAATTTTGCGGATGGATGGCATCATGGTTGCACAGATAAAAATAACTGTTCTGGTGCCATTTGTAACCAAGAAAGTTTGGATATAGGAAGTGATAGGAAGTGCAGTATGGTAAATGAGAATTGTGGTGGGCTGGTAAGCCAATCTATGCAACCTTTATTAAACTGTATTATTTCTCAAATGGATCACATAATCCCGCCTGTTGACAAACTTGTATCAGTTGATGCTCCTTATTCCATGACAGAGGCTATATCTCCTTATGTCAGACCACTACATGAAGGGACAGAACAAGCTTCGCATTATCATGGTGGTTTTACGACAACAGAGAATTTGCTTGAAGTTGTTGAATGGGATCCTCAGATTGAGAAGTTGATGCCTTCTTCACAAGTTCTCATGTCAAACAGATGCTCAGAAGAAAGGCCATGTACTGTGGTCTCTGATTTGACTGATTCAGTGAACCCATCTGGACAAATCCTTTGCCATCGTTCTGTCTCCCAACTCCATGACATTCAAGCCAAGAACACTGTTGCAGATCTCTCTGCCAGCTCTTCTTTAGAGTCCTCTACCCAAATATGCGAAGAAAGACAGATAACTATGCACTCGACCAAAAAAAAAGCGACGGATATGATGTTTGGAGGCAATTTTTGTTCAGAAGTAGAGCATTCTCCTAAAAAACTCTTCTCAAATAGAAAGGTTGGTTAATTCATTAGCTTTTAGCACCCCCCATCTTCCATTGCTCTGTTTCAGTTGTTTATTTTTTGCTTTGGCAGGAGATATCTCCAAATTCACAGGAAAAGCTTCTACGGGCTTTAAATAATGGTGGTTTGGATGACGTTGTTAAACTCTCCTGTAAGCATAAAAAAAAGTCCATCATTTAGCATTTGTTTTGCTATGCCATCTCATTGCTGACCTCCAACCTGCTGCATTTCAAAACTATTTCAGATTGTATGAAGAAGCTTTGCTTTGATAAAGGAGCAACAAAGAGTCCATCATTCTCGGTTCTAGATGACGGGGAAACATTTTTTGAGACAGAACAGACGATCAAGAAGCAGAAGACTATGAATCAATCTCTTCCTGAGGTTACTAAAGGAATTCTCAAGTCACCAGACACTATTTGCTCCAACCCTTATTGCTTAAAGAACTCATCAATCCACGCACAAGTCCATGATGCTATACTTTTCTCACAGCGCCAGATGCAAGATACTGAAAACATTGCAACAAAGCTTTTAAAAGGACTAAATAGTTTGAAGAGCATTGTGGAAGAAACAATATTTTCGGAGGGACTAAATTCTTCTCCTTCAAAGTTTAATTTTGATGAGGTATGCCCCGTAGAAACCATGTTTTGACCTGAAGCGTGCTATTGTGAGTTCTATTAATATTAATTGCATAGAGATTTTTTTTTTTCGTTTTTTTTGTCATACTTTTAAGTGGTGCTAACATTAATATATTTATAACGTTATCTTGTGTTTAGTTGCACATCCATGTCAATCATGCGCTCTTCATCCTATTATTTTTGGCTTGCAATGCTGTAAGATCTCATGAAAGTATTGGGTTTAGTCCAGCATAAGGTATTTAGAAATAGGGGCATTTGCATGCATAGCACACAATTCTTGTGTATTTACTTATCTCAAGCCCAAACTTTCATATTTACACACATATCACTCACTTCTTTAATATTACAACAAAAATAACACTATTATCACTTTCTAAAAGTTAAATATACATTTTCATGCTTAAACCACCAAAATGTTATTTATGCAAATATGTAAGTTTAGATGTGAGATATGCAAATAAATAAGAATTGTATGCTAGTTATGTAAATTTCCCTTAGAAAAATTATTTTGGTGTAAAATTTATTTTAGTTGTTTTTCTGCCATAGGCCAAAGCTTTCGAGTAATAATGGGCTCGGGCATTGGTGTAGAAGGTCCAACTTTCTTTTGATTTGTTCTTTTTAACAATTGGTAACATCACAAATGATTCAACTTGGATATAGTGATTCAAGCATCTTGTTTGGTTTTAGTTGTTGCGATGATTATGAAGTAAGGTTTGAGAGTAAGCTACTCTCATGTGGGATCCGTATGATTGCTTGAGCTCTTTGTGCTTTATACTCGATGCTATTAAAAGTTTTTGTTTGTGGTAGTTATTTTTTTATGTGGAGTGCTCTTACATAAGATTTATATTATTATATGCATTTGAGTGCATTGAATTCGTTTTATGTCATGCTGCTTTATACTCGATGCTATTAAAAGTTTTTGTTTGGGGTAGTTATTTTTTTTATGTGGAGTGCTCTTAACATAAGATTTATATTATTATATGCATTTGAGTGTATTGAATTCGTTTTATGTCATGTAGCTAAAAGAGATGTTGGTATAAAAATGCTATGTGGTTGGCTTAACCCTCTTATATGGGCTTTGGGGGTCCGATTGAAAATATTTTAAATCATTTGTGTAAAGAGAAGTGTTAAAATATTTCTCAACTCTTTTTGTGGGTATATTAGTTATAGAGTTTATATAATTGTCAATTTAGTCTTTAGATTCTTGTTATGTGAGCTAAAATAATCCTTTTTGGGAACTATTTTAACTCATATTAAAATAATATGAGGACTAATTTGGTATTTTGAAAGACTTTGGGATTATTTTTAAGGGAAATTTTCCCATTTAAAATAATATGAGGACTAATTTGGTATATGTAATGCCACTTCCCTTTTATATAATAGAAAGAAGATAACAAAATTAAATAATGAGCATAAATCTTTCTAAATTATATATTGTCTTATTATAATTATGAATTGTAGCATTTCCTTAATTACACATTTTCCCTCTAATTAATATTTTATTAAAAAGTGATAACACTTCTTATAGCCAACAATTAAGTTTACACAATTTTAATATCATTTTAACATAAAGATATGTAACATTATTTTACATATTATGACATTTCCATCCTACTTATTAAAAATGTGAAATTTTCAAGTGTGTAAATACTATGCCAATGTTTCTCATTGCCACATTTTCTTACTTCAGATCAGACTAGCTACAAAACATGCTTCAAAACTTGAAGTAACGACAAAGAAGTGGCTAGCCATGATGGCCAAAGACTGCACCCGTTTCTGTAAAATAATGGTAAATTGTTTTTTTATTCTCTTGTTTAGATCTCAACCCTTATTCTCTTTCAAATATTATATATTTATACTTTTATCTTATTTATGTCTGAACTTAATTTTTCTTAAAAAAACAGAGATTAGCAGAGAACAAATTGGCCTCTCCTGTAAATGACCTCCACAAGGGAAGGAAGAAGATAACATTCGCTGATGAGGCCGGTGGTGCTCTCTGCCAGATCAAGATCTATCAGCAAGAACCAGTTGCTTTCATCGTTCCCAAAAGCTGATTCTAATCCTTACAGGCATTTGCTTCAAAGGTAATTATTTCTTCATCAGTATTAAAAGCTGCAACTAGGCTTATTACTGTCTTTTTTGAATTATTCCTAAGAATATTTTTTGGTCATTTGGCCTTTCTAAGCAGTTAAAATATTGTATTTATTTTCTAGCAAAAAAAAAAAAAAGAAGATAAATTCATTTCATCTGTTTGTTTGCTTTTGCAGTAGAGGCTAAATGTTTAGAGGACCTGTAGATTTGAGAAATTTTGTATGTATTCTGTTATGATTAGTTTTAACTCGATGAAAGTTTCACTTGATACTTTTCAGTGGACGTAATATTTTCTCCCATTTTAGAGGTTTTATTATTATTGTTATTATTATTTTTTCATTTGAGTGAATCATTGCAAGGTTAGAGGTTTTATTATTATTGTTATTATTATTTTTTAATTTGAGTGAATCATTGCAAGGCTTTGTAGCTTGCAACTCTTAATGATTTAGCTTCGGGGCATTTACAAACATACCACTCAATTCTTATATATTTACATATCTAACATGTAAACTTTTATATTTTATGTATATTATAATGAAATTTTTGACATCACATAAAAAATGTCACCATTACTGATTTTTTAGAGGGGAAATATATCTTTTAATGTACAAGTTTTTTTAATGCCAAGACGTTATAAATGTCAGTTGGGATAGTTTGATCCAGGGTTTTTCTTATTTAATTGGAAGTAATGAGGATGAGAATTCTAATGGTATTTATATTAAAATGGTGCTATTCTAGATGTGACATGAAAGGTTTGGCCCGATTAGGTGGTATAAATCTAAAAAAAAAAATATTTAGGTTTAGACATGTAAAAATATAAGAATTGAATGGCATGCATGCAAATGCACGCCCCAAAAAGGGGAAATTTACATGCATGCATAATTCTGTGTATTTTGCTATCAACCCCCAAACTTTCATATTTTCATAGTTATTAACCTCTTATTGTTCAAAATCTATGCACGAAAACTTGTATGTCGTATTTATAAATTCATAGTATTGTTATTTTTTGTGATTTTAAAAATTTGAATGTCAAATGTGTAAAAATGAAAATTTAGGTATGAGATGTACATAGAAATACAACTATATGCTACTTATGTAAATACCTCAGGAAAAAAATGGCCAACACAAACATGCGTGCAAGCTTCAAGGTGGAAAAATTATT